GAGATTTGTACGAGCTTACCATGCCATGGTAAGCTCACCGTTACTCACTGAGGCGACCCGGTGTCAGTTAGGCACCGTAGAAATACAGTCCGTTACCCCCGACTACAAACGTAGTCCAATAGGCACGGTTCGCTTAACCCCTTGGATTGAGGAAAAATTCCGAACCATGATCAAAGGGCATTGCGATGGGCTGTGCTATTGAAGAGCAGCGAGCCATCCCGCGATTCCCCCTGATCTTAGCAGGATACCGTTCTGACAACGCACAGAACATACTGGAGTATCCATTTCCAGCCGGCACCCTCGGGGAGGGTTCAGTGGAGGAACAATTTTTTCGCCAGCCGCAGAACTTTGAAATTACCATTTATATGAAAAAGTCATGAACGACTTCCATACAAACGGAGCCCACAGTCATTTAAGATGTAACTTTTCCGTACAAGACTCTTAAGTGACTAATGCATGACATTCGCTACGGGAAGGTAAAATTATTGAGAGGCAGTCTGACGTTTGCCAGCAATATAATTTTAAAATTCGAACTCAAGCTCACACACTCATTCTCCTTTTTAATCTCAAACAACAATTGTAACAATTTAATTTTTTTATTTTCAATTTGATATGATTTTAAAATGTTTGCAAACTTCAGAAAAAATCATGGCCGACGAATAGAGAGAATAGAAGGTAAAATCTTCTTCTTCTTCTGTTTTTATCATGTACATGGTTACAGCCAAAGGAATGAGAATGAATAATTCTTTTTAAAGAGCTTTAGAAAAACCTGACACATCTGGTTTGGTTTGTAAGTGCCATTTAAACAACGATCTCGCCATTATGCTTGATTCTAATTGTTTCTTAAAAATAGTTGACATCCGCATTCGCATCCGCATCCGCTGTTAGCTGTTAGATATTCGCATCTATCCATCCATATAAAATACATGGAAAACTTTGGCCGCTTTGAGCGACCTCTAAATATTTTTTGATTTCCAAATAAAAAAATAAGGGTATATTTTTCGGTATAGAACAATCCTAGGGGGTGAGAGCATAAAAATTCCGACTACTTTTTCACATGCATTTTTCGACCAACCTAGTGTACAAGCTGGTTCCCAAGTAAACGAAATTCTCTACTTTCTCGAAATTATAACTGTCAACAGTGACGAGAGTGCCAAGGCGCGAATGTCTTGACTTTTTATTTGATGAAAGGAGGTACCCGTACTTGAAAAGAAGAACTAAAACTAGAATAAATACTGAATCACATGTCTGTAGGACTATCGATAGGACCAAAACCAATCGATAGTAACGAAAAATAAAAAAAAACATTGTTACTATCGATAGTGCTATCGATAGTTTTGCATTTCTAATTACAACTATTAATTGCAAACATATTACTTTGATCAGCTGTTTTTTTGCTGACAAATTGCTGCTGGTAAAACTTCCCCTCAATATCCCATGTTTCCAAGTTAGAATACGTGAAGTTCAAAATCGTGGCAAGTGCCGACTTCAAAAACGGAAACTTTTTCGATTTTCAGCTAGGTTTTCGATAAGGTTCTAGATGAATGATATATAAAAGTCGATTGTATACAAATTTATACATATATGTATACGCCGGCTATGGGGTGAGGGTGTTTCCCCCCCGGTCCCGGATTTTTCCTTAAATTTAGATGGGAGATAAAAATTATAAAATTTTGTTAAATTTGATTATTTAATATTCACATAGCCTTTATTATTATTTATTATTTATTATTTACAACAGGGGAAAATCAGAAATCAATAGAAGACGAGTTTCTTGCATACAACCAATTTGAGCTTAAAGGAACGCATTTGATCTAAACAATTAAAACAATTTTTTACGCATTCACTTGATCCGTACAACAGTAGAGCAAAATAAATTCTGCCTTTAGACGAAGTTTTATTAAAAAAAAAAAACACGGGTACTACGAAAATAGTTGGTATTTTTCAAAAACACTGAGTAAGGATGTAGTGATACCGTTGGAAATTCGTACCTGTACAACCATTTCTCGACTGTTTAAATTTCTCGATTGCTTATATAAAACTGCTTAAACTATTATACACATTTTTTCTTCAACTTCTTCTATCTATTTATCTATAAATCGAAAATAAAATGATTTGAATCAAATTCGATGCCTGATTTTTGGCCACTTTTACTTGATTTCTGGCCCACTGTGCATTGGTGTGCTTATTTAATATTTCCTCTTAGTTGCAATCCATTTGTAAGCATGTGTACATATGTAACAAGTTATTGAAAGTGAGCAGATTGTCTTGTATGTGACAAAATTGAAAACAAAAATCCTAAATACCTACTTGAAAACTAGCTTGTGAACTTTATGATGAGTACATATTATTAAGATAAGCTCTCATTAAGTGACAAAGTAAATAGTTTTTATCCCCATTTAAACGATTTATAGCCTAATGCTTATTATCGTTGTTTCAGCTGCGAGAAGAAATAAAATTATGCAGGCATATTCTGAAATTCGAAACTTTGAAATCGACTCGATTTGGCAAATATTTTTTAATTATATCCGATGAAAATAGGGAATAATATATAAGCTCGAAAGAAGCAGCAGTGGTATTAAATAAATCATTTTCATGCGATGGATTTTTAGTGGGTTGCTACGTGTTTCAAAAATCAAATTCAACTTAAATCATCAGTTAATTGAAATGCTACATACATATGGATGTACACCTGTTTTAATAGCCGAATTAGGCTAATTTATATACATGAATTATGAAATATTAAAATATGCGTGTCAGTCGAAAGAGATCTTTAGTTTAAAATTATCTTTGATCAGGCTTGCTAGCTTTTCGAAAAGTAACACCGTCCTAACTAAGTATATATACGTAATATTCGAGAAGAAATTTTTTGTTAAGGTCATTAGATTTGCACCATTCTTTCAAATTTCAAGTCGAAATAAAGACTTTTGCCTATACATGTGCGATAAGATTTTATTTCTTAAAATGAGAAATTTTTTGTCGGTACAGGGTAATCTGAAATTTGATGATCTTAAAAACCGCCACTACGCCAGATTTTAAAACTATGATAACCAATAGAATAACATGCGAATCAATCTTTGGTATTATCCTTCGTAATGTTATTACCCACGTCTCCACCTTCTACAGATTCTGTTAAAAAAACTGTGTTAAGACAGAAATGTCATACGGATACCGCAAATTTCCACTGTCAAACCATATCTGACTTGCCGAATTTCTTACCATCGCTGTCTTAACATCAGCTGTCATTTGGTAGGTTCACAACTCAGTTTTCATTTTACCACGCCATCTACATTGGGTACAGATTGATCTGATTGTCTTAATGCCATTTTGAAAGTGATATGTTAAGACAGCAAGTTGCCCAGATGAGAAAGCGGAACAAAGTTAAAACAGAAGTTTGACAGATGTTAAGACACATTTAATAGAAAATGGAGACGTGGGGTTAGGTATGTAACGTGATAACGGAAATGGCTGCATCATTTAGGCGCACGATTATTACATAGTTACTTCACGAACCTACGTGTAAACATTCCATAGCTAAACTCAAAAAACATTGTTCTATAACTAAGATGTCATTGGCGGATCTAGGTAAGGGGGAAAAAGAGATAGTAAAAAGTCTTTCGTAAGACAGATGGCAAGATAGTTCGAAAGACTTTTGTTATTCTAGTACGAAAGTCTTAAAAAAAGCTCTCTCATTCACCACTCGTGGACACGAGGATGTCATTTTATACTCGTCGTAAAAAGTACAAAGGCCCACATTTCTGGATTTACTTCGAGCACACATCTGTAGTCGAGTTGTGTATAATTTCCTCTCAATATCCCCTAGAGAAATTCACTGATCGAGCTTAGACATCTATCAGAGATGGTAATGGCTACATCATCAGCATAAGCAGCTTGTTGTAATTTAAATTACGTATGCCCATTAGGGTGGTACAAAAACAGTAAAGTCGGAATTATAATGTTTTCACCCCCTAGGATTCTTCTATATCGAAAACAAGTATATCCCGTATTTTTTATTTAGAAATCTAAAAATATTTAGATGGCGCTCAAAGTTTTCCATATATTTTTATATGGGGAAATAATAATTTTTCGTGGAAATGGTATAGAATTCTTGAAAATCAATATTTTACGATCGGAAAACTCTGGTTCTCCTCAGGAGATGTTCAATAATAATAGCCAATAGTTTATTTAACCATTTTTTAATACTTACGATTTTTTATTTGTCCCCCCGTTGCATTTTTCGGGGTTTTTGTGGGTTTTTGGCGGACCGATAAATTATTATTTAATTGCGATAAAAAATGGTTAAATAAACAATTGGGTATTATTATTGGGAATCTCCTGCAGATAAACGGAGTTTTCCGATAGAAAAATATTGATTTTTAAGAATTATATACCATTTCTGCGAAAAGTTGTTTTTCCCCATTAAAGTACATGGAAAACTGTGGGCGCTTTGAGCGCCCTCTAAATATTTTTTGATTTCAAAATAAAAAATACGGGTACATTTTTGTTGGTATAGAACAATCCCAGAGGGTGAGAGCATAAAAATTCCGACTTTACTTTTTCACATATATTTTTGGACGACCCTAATGCACATATGTATCTGTTTATAAAAAATGTAAATCAATATCAACTTCGATTAATTTGATAAGGCTAACAACCATCCTTTTTGCTCATTCTGAACGAATGCCTGATTCTGAATTGAGTAACAAAGAATTTGTAAAAGTTCGCGCCGTTATAAATAGTTACATATCTTTTTAGAGTGAAACTACATAGTACATATATACATTAGTATGTACATCTTGAAACACTTGTGCGGCGACGTACATAAGTATGTATACGAGTATACAAAGCGGGGGCACCATTTGATAAGACCGGTAGAATTCACTGCTATTAGTTCAGTTACAAATTGGCAGTATGTGGCTGCGGAAACGATAACCGTTACAAATCAAGTGATTCTGCTATAAACTATGTGTTGCATCTAATTAAGTGTATGCTAGTTGCATTCTAATACAAAGTGATATTCACTAAACAATTTCTTTTACAAATACCTACGCCAGTAAAAGTCAAAGCTAACTTAATAATGGCGACGAACGCCGAAGGTCCTTGTGAATCAAAATTACCTACTGTGTTGAATATAGGGGGAAACTTAACGACAAGCGAGGAAAATGCTTCAAGCACACAGCAAATTACAAGGTGCCCAGCCACTAGTGGGCCACAGGATACACAACTGCAGCAACATGACTATGAAGCTGTGCTCGATATGATAGGTGTGCATGGGGGCGGGTGGTTAAGCGTGTCCTTTATTTTGAACATGTGTGTGTATAATTTCATTTTCAATCTGCAAGGTTTCGGTTGTGCGCAATGGATAATACTGCTGGTGTGCGGCTTGCTTTTGATGGTGGTTATTGACGAAACAGTCGGCATGAGCATCATAACGATCGCTTCACAATGCGATTTTGCTACATCTGCGATTGATAAGGCCATAATGAATGCGTCTAGTTTTGCGGGTATGTGAAGAGCTGTCCTTTATTTTGTACGATAAAAACTCGTGTTTTAAAGTGCTGTAAAATGAAGTTAGATAGCTCTAAATAAGAAACTTTGATACTAAAAAAAAACACACACACAATGATTTGGCAAAAAAAAAACCTAGATAAAAAGCCGTGTGAAATATTTACTGAAATAATGCGAGGGACTAAATAACAGTAAATATTATGTGTATTCATATTAAAAAGGTTTAAGCAAAACAGTGAACACAATGTCTTCCGAGAATGAGGAAGATATAACAAAGTAAAATTCTGAAATAAACAAGCATTCTTGCAACACTCGGACTGCTTTGGGGCCTATATGGCCCACAGCCTTTTCTGGTCCGTCAAAAGGGTGTTTTGCAGATTGCCGCCGAGTGGCGAGGGGCAAAAAATAGTCAAGCCTACAGAAATTAAGATATATAGCATATTTGCAAATTCTGTGGGCTGGATGATTATTAGCCGACTGCCCACGTATCATAGACCAAAGCTTCTTATCTCTATAGTGTTTAATTTCACAAATAGCCTAAGGTTGGAGTGAACATATATTGGGTTAGCACCGTACATAGATCTACATACATATATATAGCGGCTGAAACAAATGACCACGCGTTGATTTTTTTTTTAATATTCGTAATGTGTTACAAGCAAATTTTTTTGCTATTTTTCTGTTAAAATACCATCCAAGCTTTAATCAAAACCCCATAAATCACAGTTTAAAACTTTATAAACAATTTGGGAAAATTCAACAAATTTTAAACTTTTTAATCTGAATCTTTATAACATTTTTGGGTATGCTGTTTTACAGTAGAGGTGGAGAAAACATCGATGGCACTGTCGATGCATCGATGTTCTTGCGCTTTTGTTAATCATCGATGGTTGATTGCGACTATCGATGTTTCCTTTGTACACTTCTGTAAATGTAAAGAACGACGATTTAAAGGAGATACCCAAAAAGTATGAACCTATGAAATTATATTAATTTCTAGTTTATAACATGTTCAAGCAAAAATCTAAATACTTTCGAAGAGGTTTATGTTAAACCCAACTTCCGCTAGATGACTCAGGTGTCCAGATATCTGAAAACCCCATATTTTTGGTCCAATATTGGCTCGTATTTGGAATGTACAATACTTTATGAAAGGAAATAGCTCCACAAAAAATCGGTTTGACTTATTTCATTTGTAAAAATATATATTAAAAACCTATTGGGTCGTATTCATAGTCATTCATTAAATTCATACCTAAAGCTAGTTGCGGCTTTTTGACATAATTTTTAGTGGGTTTTATGTCAGAAAAGCTACAACTAACCTTAAGTATCAACTTAGTTTCGACTTTTACCACCCTAGTTTTTATCAGAACAATCGATGTTACATGTTGTTTCAAAACATCGAAAACATCGATCTTTCTCCACCTCTATTTTATAGCCCATACAATTTTAGTGTAATGAAGTGCAAGTCTCTACCGGCTGAAAAACCCTGTTGACTTTCAAGAACGTTTTTTTTGAGATAGCTTTTGCGTTTTTGTTTTATATAACAAGTGCAATTTACATAAACTGGCGTTGATTTTTTAAAATTTTGTTGCGAACATTTGCATTTTATTTCATAAAAAATTACTGTTTATATGGAAAAAAGCGCAAAAATCCGTCACAAAAAAAAAGTTCTCAAAAATCAACGGGATTTTTTAGCCGTCTGAAACTTACACAAAATGGTATGCGCTATAAAACTTCATTCCCCATAAATGTTCCAAAGATTCAAATTAAAAAGTTGAAATTTTGATGAAAATTTGTTGAATAATCTTAAATTGTTTATAAAGTTGGAAATTGTGATTTGTATAGTTTTGGTTAAAGCTTGAACAATATTTGTGTAGAAAAGAAACAAAAAAATTTAACTTGAAAAACATCATGAATATTTAAAAAAATTAACACGTATTGGAGCCACTATATGCAGTAGACCGCAGCGCTAGTATACCCTCAAATAATAATAATACCCCTTCAATCGGAAAATGTGAGCTTATTTTTAAGGCTTTTTGAATAAATTGCAAAATTTCAAACTCGCAAAATTAAGCAGTTTATTGTAATGAATTGTGTTGTTTTAGGTAAAGTACAGGTTTTTGTGTTGTTGCTAATAAGACTCTTCTCAATCGAGAATTTTTAGATATTTTAAATTCAAAATTTTCATTAAGAACTTGCAAAAATTAAAAAAGAAGTATCTACACCTATAAAAAATATGCACTAATCGGTGCGCTTACTTCCAAAGAAGAATATTTCGCTCATACCTCATACAAATTAAGCGCTTCACTTCTCAGAAAGGAATAAGCCAGTTAAGCCTAGTACACTAAGTTATAACGTTGCAAGAAATTAGATAATAGGAGTACTGTAGGGTGCCACATGTACATATGTATGTATTAGGAATGCTAATCCCGGCATCCCGGCCTTTTTAAGGTTTCGAATATCCCGGAACGCTTGGCAAATAATTCGGGGTTTTTCGGGATTTGTAATTTGCAATGATGGCAATAATAGAAACTCCTTTTCTTGATCACTATTGGCTATATATATATTTTTTTAAATTTAATAACTAATATTTTTTTATAAATGTCTAGCTCATTATACATATAAAACCGTGCGATAGTAAATTTACACACAAAAATCAATATATTCGTGAAACCATGGGCCAAATATGTATAGTTTTTCACTCTGACATCAGCAATTCAAAAATCATTTAAAAAATTCAGTGAAATGTGCTTAGACAAGAAGTATGGGTATCGAATTAAAGATGAAATTCTGTCGAATTTAAATAGATTCAAGTTTTTGATGCAGAAGGACTGGTAAGTATTGAAAATGTCCTTTTAAAATTTTATCCTTGAAATTTCGCAATATTTGTTTTTAAAAAAATTAAATGTTAAGGACTGATATAAACTCGATAACGTCCTCAAATTTCGTCCTTCTAACTTTAACCGCTTTACCTATTCGTTCTTGTGAATCCAAAAAATTTTTATGTTTTTTAATTCTAAAGAGATTTTCTCTTGTATTTGGTACCCATAATTTTATTCTACATTGCACTGAATTTTTAAATAATTTTTGGAATTGATCATATCGTCGTTTAGAGTACAAAACCGCGTATCGTCATTCTGCAAAACCGCGTAACTGACATTGGCTGCCAAAAATTGAATTTGCTCACACAAGCTCTTGGCTCAATCCTTATCCATTCTTCCTGAAATATACTAGCCAGAAATGCGATTTCTTTATAAAAAAGAGAACCATTGTGAAATATGAGTGTTTTTACTCTCTAAAAAATAATTTATTCAACCTCACATACGTGGTTTTGCATTTTCTTGATACGCGGTTTTGCATTTTGTTGATACGCGGTTATGTACTTTAAACGACGATATGTTTGAAATTACAAAAGTCCTTTAAAATAAATCCTCACGTCAGAGAGAAAAAATAAAAACGCCACTTTAATTAAAAAGTAGGTTTCAAACCCATTTATTTATTATTTATTTTATGGTAGGAGAGCTTCTCAAACAATATAGACGCAATTTTTTCGATTTAAGTTGTTGAAATTGTGATAACGACACCCCGGGATCGGAAGAAGCTGAAAAATTAACATCCCTAATATTAACCATTCGTGTTTTTGTATAATATTTTATTTAAGTTGCTATGTCGATTTTTGACTAACTTCCCGAGGAGCTAGAACTTAAACTTAAAACGTAGCCCAGAACCCGATGACAATTTAGTGAGCGATAAATTAACCCGCTGGGTGGCGCAGTAGTCGAGATATTTGAAAATCCCGTTTTTTAATCCGGTTTGGTTCATATTTTTTAAAAGCGTCTATTGTTTTTTTAAGTGTCGGGAAATAAATCCACAAACAAATTAGCCGGTAGGTGGTGCGAGTGTTGATAATTTTTGCAAATCTGCATCTATGTTGTGAATTAGTTTACCTTGTATTTGTAGTCCGATTTGGCTCATATTTAGAAAGCTTGTTTAAAAAATATTTTTCTTTTTCTAATTTAAGTATTTACTGTTACTTATGATATTTATGGAATGTCTAATGGGTTAGATCCGTAATTTTATATGATAAATGTGTAACGAACAAAACACTTGTAATGATCTGAATTTACTGAATCAGCTTGAAATGGCTGGACCGGATGGAGAATCACACCATCTAACCATCACAACGACACTGTTTATGAAAATAAAGTTCCCCCCAGGTTCATGCCTCCAATTTCAGTTCAGAATAAATTTGCTCAAACTTAGGATCCATGTTGCAAATCTTTTCTCTTTATTGGACAAAAAATATATGTAGCTTAGAGTAAAAGGATTTTCGGTAAAAATTTTGAATTTGTTTCCAAATAACATATGATACAAAAGATAACTGAATATCTGACTTTATTGGCCTTTATATACAATTTATATTTATTATATCTGCGTAAAAAAAGGTCCATGTATATATTTAATTTTTTGCAGGCATCGTAATATTTTCATACGTTTTTGGATACCTCAGCGATACGGTGGGAAGACGGACCATATTGCTTTATTCTACCTCTGCGGCAAGTCTCATCTCCGTTGTATCCATTTTTATACCGAATTATTGGGCTTATGTGTTTATGCGTTTTGTTGTAGGCGTTTTGTAAGTAATGATGCTGTTATTATAAATTGACTGTTTTTAATTTTCCAATCAAGCATCTTTAGTAAATATGTACATATTTATGTATGTTGTATTTAAAAGTTATGCAGGCCCCTCCACCATAACGTTTGCATATTTAGGAGAGTTCTTCACAGTACGCCATTGTGCTATAGCCCTTAACTATGCCAGCTTATTTATTGGCTTAGGGATGGCTTATGTACCGGGTACGTTTTGGAATTATTAAGAAATTTAATTACAACATTTATATTTACACGTACAGTTGTAAGAAAAGTGTTTTCCTTTTATATTCACAGCAATCGCTTGGCCGGTGCTTTTGATGGATTGGTCCCTACCGATAAGCGATAGTTTCGCTTTTCGTCCATGGCGTCTATTGACGCTCTTTAATCTGTTACCGGGATTTTTGGCCATTGGATTTTTACTGCTACTGCCAGATAGCCCCAAAGTCCTGTTATCTTTGGGTAAACATGATGAAGCTCTATCAGCTGTTAATTGGATATGTAAACGCAATACCGGTAAAGATTTAAAACAAATTGGTGTAGAAAAATTGAAGGCCGAAACCGAATTTGAAACCGATAGAGTGTTTTTAACAAGCAAGTCGTGGTAAGAATCAAAAAAAAAATTTATTATTAATATGTATAAATACAAATAAGTCACGAGAAACCATTTAAAAGCTTTACAATTTCATAGCTGATCTTGAATTTTGCGTTTCTTCCTTTTATTTCACTTTCACCTCCTGCCTGTTAAGAATAAATGACGCGCTTCATAATTACCGAGGCTTGGATTTTGGTGAACTAAAGCGAACAAAAAATTACCTTAAAAAATGACAAAATGCTCTTAATAATCCTTAACCAGTAATTATATTCATAAACAAATTTAAGAGTACCTCTTTTTCATGATCCAATGAGCGGATCTAAACAAAATTACAATTCGCCAAAAAAGTAAAACCTTGTAAATTACCATGCATATTGTATTATTATTATTAGAAAAAAAAGAACAACTCTAATGGAAAAATGTCAGGCCCCGAGGGCCTGAAGCCAAAAACGGACTAAAAAAGATTAAATTATTTGGTTGTATCTTTCGAAGTAATTGTCATAGGAAAAAATGCTTCGATAATTTGGTGCAGAATAAAATAATTAACATTTTTTTGATACACTCTTTTGACCTAAACAAAGTTATTGTGGTTTTTGCAATCAAAACCAAAATTTTTATAAATATTTCTAAGAATGTGAATGCTCTTTGCATTATTTAAAGGATAATTCAATGCAGTTGTATCAAACATTTTCTCTTTTAAGGATCATTGCAATTTAGGGGCATACAAGGCAAATGAAAGTCAAAAGTTAAGAAAAATTTTCATAATGCAGTTCTCTATTTCAGTAAAAGGAAAAAAATTTAACAAATTTTTCTAGGGTATACATTTTAAGGCGACAGAACCTTTATTAGGTTGAATGGCCAACACTTTGTTGGAAAAGTTTGTATTTAAGTACTCAACGAGTTTTGCCTTAGAATGAAATAAGCACGATTTGGATTATTGGGGTGACCCTTATTTGAAGCAGTGGAGGTTTAACCTCCAGTTAGGGACGGTTGTTCTGGTTATCACTACCTCCCAGTTAAACATCATTATCGACGATTTCGACATCACGCATATACATATGTATACGGTGACCAGATCTCTGTGGCCATAAATCGGGACATTTATAAAGCCTCGAATCCGAACCTACAATTTTGTTCTTAGAATAAAACGACATAACTTCTTTTTTTTAGAGAAAAATTTTAATAATTAGCACAAAAATGTATACACACAATATATATGGTGGAGAGAATGTAAATAGAGAAGAGACATTTTAGAAGTTTTGGCTACTTTTCTTTGTTTGAAAAATGTTAATTACTTTTTTATAAAAACATAACTTACTATCTAAAAAAAAAATGGAAGTCTAAATTTCAAACATTGTAAAACATTTATAAAAATTGAACGAATGCTAACAAATGTTGATCAAAATTTTAAAAATTTTTATCGCTTTTCTAGGATTGTCTTGAGCCCATTAAATTTTAGTCTAATACAGTGCAAGTTTGAAGTAGCTTGGACTTACCGTTGATTTTTGGCAATTTTTTGTTCCCGCGTATTCTTCCATACGAAAAATATGTTCCAACTAGGGCTGTGCGATTATTCGATTACTCGAGCAAGATGGTTAATCAATTACTCGAGTAATCAAGATTTTGATTACTCAAAACGATGATTAATCGAGTTACTTGAAATATGATTACTGAAAAAAAATAATTTTGCTCGTTAAACGAGTTTGCTTTGGAAAATGCTTATTTTCTTTTCTACATTCTGTATATGAAAAAAATTTTTCGTTTTAATTTTTGAAAACAGAAACGTTGGTTTCAAAGTATCAAGGAACTTTAACTACTTTATACATATGTAAAGAGTTGAAATGTTGATTACTCATTTTACTCGAAATGTTGATTAATCATAAAGCAACTTACTCAAATATTTGTTTTTTTTGGTTAATCAAAAATTTTGCGTACTCGAGTAACTGAAATTTTGAGTAATCATAATTTCCAAATAATCGAATAATTGAGTTAGTTACTTTATGATTAATTAAAATTTTGAGTAATCAATTAATCGCACAGCCCTAGTTCCAACACCTTCCGCAAAAAAAAAAATACCAAAAATTAACGTTAAATCCTAGCTATTTCAAATTTTCACTTTGAATTGAATGGGCTACAAAATTGCATACTCAGAATGTGTCTTAGAAATCTATTTAAAGACCTCAAAATTTTGATGCAACTTTGTCGAATTTTGCTAATTTTTGTACAAATTTTGAAAATTTGACTTATATGGTCTTTGTTAGATAACGAGCTATGCATTCATAAAAAAGTATTAAGCCTTAAATAATCGCCAAAGAATGTTAAAATGTTTCCTTAATATATGTATTTATCATATCCATGATTTTTTAGGGGGAATTAGTATTATTTTTTATGATTTCACTAAATTCAAGTTAGAATTGTTTCATTAAAAAAAAACAAAAAAAAATACAAATAATTTTACAAGTAATTTTTAAGCAAAAAACAAAACCGACTTCAATTCTCATATAGAAATTTAAAAGTACCGTTAATTTTTTACCGATCCAATGAACGGACCTAAACTAAATTAATAATGGGACCACCTCTGAGGTATACATTTCCTTATAGAAATCTGTTAATGTGGTCCAAAATTATGCATTAACATACATCACAAAATTATTCCGACAAATTGATAACTTCCTGTTTGAAGTCGGTTGAAAACCCATAAAAAAATTAAGAGCAGAATGATAGACTGCAAGAGTACCAGTTTGACAGAATAAAAAGTAACCAAAGATCATAGAAAATAAGTCCTTTGTGATAACAAAAAAAAAAAGTTTTTACGAAAAATTGGTTTTGGACCAGAGTACAGGAAAACTCTTATTAAATTAATAAAGAAAACACTGAAACTCGGGACTTAATCGGTACAAATATGAAAAATCGGGACACTTATACGTCCCGACTTTAAAAAAATATTCAGCGGGACAATTTTCTCAAAATCGGTACTGTCCCGCCAAAATCGGTACGAATGGTCACCGTATGCATATAACATCTGATCGATAAAGCTGTCGTTGCAATTAACCAGAGATTCTACCTCCGTTAACTAGACATTGAACAACCGGCCGTTGATGTTAACTAGACATGGTGCCCTCAGGATCAGTTCTTTATCCGAAATATATATTATTGTACTTCGAACAAATTTTAACATTAAAATTTTGACTTTGATTGCAAAAGCTGCATTAATCCGTAATGGTCACACCTCCAAAAAATAGTGTAATAGTTACACGGTGTTCAGTAGACCCCAAGCCAATAAATAGATGCCACGTACGTTCTATTTTATACATATATCGACTCATATCCTACATTGACGTTAAGTCTAAAACTTTCTCTTTGCTACCTGACAGGATTTTTACCAACTTTTAAATAATAACGAGATTTAAAACGAATTAAATAAAAGAAAAACTTTGTAAAAAATTTTACATTTTGCTATAGATCAAAAAGCTTGTGTTTGGATGAACTTTCAAAAAAATATATTTGTTTTAAATATCAAATAGTTAATTTCGTAAGGCTCGTAAAATTAAAGGATAAACGAAATAAAAGGAAAATCGTTTTTTGCACGCTAAATTAATTATTTAACTTATTTTAATAAAAAGTAAGTAGTTTTTAAAATAAATATATGACATTAATCGCGTCTACCAAAATCGACGCGCAATGTATGTATGTATTTGCCTAGTGAGAACAAACCTAGACAGGGTGGTAGGACAGGGTAGTAGAATAAATTATATAGGAATGTATTGAAATCGGTGATTCCAGTAAGACATATGTAATAGGTTTGTTCCACAAGCTACTTGAAGGCACTTCGAGTTACACACACGCGTTCCTCAAGTAGGTTTTAGAGTTTATTTGATATACGCTGACATTTTGCACTTTGGTCGAGTTTTTCTACAAGCAGCTTGTGGAACAAACCTAATTTTAATTAATCTTATATTTTTTTTTGCAATGAGGAGACTCTAAATAACACTGTGGAACAAATTCAGGATAGCAAAAGTTAGGTCGATTCAGAGAGTGAGGGGTGAAAATAGAGGCTAAATTAGAAGACCCGTATCGCGGCGTTTGTTTATGTTAGTTCGAATTTTTTTTTAATCGACCTTCGAACTTTGCAGTCAAATGCCGATTTTCAGCATATTGTTTAAATGGTTTTTTGGCTATAACTCGTCGACTAATTGATATTTTTTCAATCTGTTAAATCCAAGTTATTGCTAGAGACCTGTGCAACAATTAAAATTAAAAAAAAATTGATTTAGAAAATTTGTGTAGTGCTTATGAAGCAAAATGTTGGAAATTTTTTTTTCATGCTTTTTGAACATATTTTCCACAAAACTAAGTCTTTTTTGCTTTCTGTTTGATCTATAATATGCTTCTCAGTTTCTTCAATAAATTTCATTTGAAAAGAAAACAATCATAATACAAAACTTGCGTTTTCCAGCTTAATATTAATTTACTTCTTATTTCTTATGTACCAATTTTTTTCAGTGTTGGTTTTGAAGAAACATTGAAAAAGAAATTATAAAAATATGGAAAAAAATATTATTTTGAAATGTTAGTTATGAAAAGTTTTAAGTAAAAAAATTAAATAAATTAAATTAATGATTTGGCCAGTTGCCGTTTAGCAGACCAAGATATTAGAGAGAGTAGTGATGTTGATCCACAGCCGCCTGCTAAACGGCAACTGGCCAATATACATGTATGTGCACGTAATTACAATACTGGCTATATATAATTCTGCTATACTTAATTCTGCCTTGCTTGTGTGGGCAATAAGTTGATTGGTCTTATGATACAAAAAAGTAGGTGCAGTGCCAATGAACTCTTCGATACATCTTGCGTTGGTATTCAACCTGCAGATCTGGAGTTTTTGCAAAACTCTAATAAGAAATATTATTGCGGTGTCTGCGCTTCTGCGCGACGAAAGTCATTTCGTTCGCCTTCTCCACCCGCTGTTCTGGATGTAAGGGTCTGATTATGCATACTTCGCATAACTTCGCACAACCATTTGTACCAGTGCAATAAAAATGTTACTTAAGAAAATGTGAAGCAAAATCTAAACTCAACAGATCGCTAAGTTTTTAAAAGTTCTGCTAATTTCTGGGTAATGGAATACATACAAATTAGATACAAAGTACATACGAAATTACAGTTTGAAGTTTATGCGAAGTTGTCGAAGTTATGCGAAGTATGCATAATCAGACCATAAGGCTCTCGCCAAATCAAAGTGAACATACTAACAAACAACAGGAATAACTTTGCACTCTCTATACAGTGTCATTGTCTCACTCCGTGATGAGAACGTTCGTATGAGTAGCATGATCAGTGCACTGTGAGAAGACAATAATAAATTAGAAAGAAAAGCCGACAGTATGCACTCGGATATCATCTCTCAGCAGCGAAATCTGAGTGATACGAATGAAGCAATTGCTGCACTCATCAGGGATGAATAAATGAAACTTCTGATTGTACCTAATATCATAAAATAAATACACCTAAATGAGACAGATTGACCCTAAAACAAGTTACATCATTCGTCTGTAGTTTTTTTTTTAATTTTATTTAAAATATCAATACAAAAGATGGATGTACATTAGACTGTATCACTAAAAAAGTTGCGGGATTACAAAGATTGTTATATTTAAAAAAATTAAATTTGTATAGTGTCATAAAGAAATTAATTTAAACACACTGAACAATCAATCTAGGGTTGCAAAAATTAATACATTTGTTTTCTAATCAGAAAATTGTTTAAGAAGATATATTGGATTTTTCATGAAGCTACTCAGATGTCTCCAAACATAAAGACACTAGTATATAATTACTACTTTTAATGGGACTCTCTCTCAATATACTTTTATCTTTTAATATATTTTTAGGCATGAAACCGTTAAGAATATTTGGCTGGAAACTCGTCCGTTGTTCCGCCGTCCATACGCTCTAAATTTTTTGATATGTTGTACTGTTACGGCCGGGATGTTCTTCAGGTAATAATAATTGTTCTTTGGTTCCATCTGCATATTTACACGCAAGTAGGTATACATTACCGTTACTCTTATTGGGGGAAAAAATTACATACATACACATCGTCACCCTTATGCTAGAAGCTTGAATGTGCAAATTCACCGATTTTGAGTTATTGAGTTGACTTGATTAACCTTTGGTTGTTTCATGTTATACCTAAACCCAGAATACCGCGCGTACACGGAAACCACATATTTCACAATGTCATTTGCATGAATGCAGAGTTAAGTCTCATAAAAAAACTTTCAAACTTGGTTTCCCAAAAATTTCATTTTTACACATTTATGTTTCTGACATGCGGGGGGCAATAACTATGTATGTAATAAGTAGGGCTCAGAAAATATGAGCTCAAAATTCAAAAATATGAGCTTTAAAAAAGTAAAATGCAATTAAAAATATTATCATAATATTTTATTGCCGGAACAAAAATAAATAATACATGTATTTTAACGAGAAAAGAACGAAAACAATTCATTCAAAAATGCAATACATATTTAAATATGTGTAAAATTAGTTACTAATCAAGCAGAGAGTTACAATCTGGTGTAAACAGAAAACTGGAAATTTAATACAGGGGTTCAGATGAATTTGTGGGAAAAAATTATGTGTCATTTCTTTGTCAAAAGATGTCGCACTAAATTTAAGTGGTTGTAAGTTAAATAAAGCAAAAATAGCACTTTTTTTCAAAATATGCATTAACGATTGAATTCCCCTTTAGGAAATTTCGTGATTAAATAGTAAAGACAACTTAACTATTTCCATTCCTCGATTCCTAGCCCTAGTTAAAAGTATTGTACAGTAATTGAACTTTTTACCAAAAGGTGGAATCGCAGCCCACAAAACAAATTTGATGGGTTAAAGCAAATTACGCTCGAAATTTGGCGCGCAGACTTAAACAATTTGATATTTTATTGCATGTGAAATATGCAATATGTACACGGTGACCATTCGCACTGTTCCAAATAGGGATATTTGCTATAAGCTAACTTTAAGTTGATTAGGAAGGAGCTAAAAGTCACTTATTATCTGTATATATTCTTTGACGAAAGCTAACTATATTTCTATGGCGATGGCCGCGAAATAGCCAAGGGTGGTTACCTGTGCATTAGGTGTAGTCAAGGGTGGCTACCTCTGCATTTGATGTAACTAACTTGTAACTAACTAATCTTGGACATAAAATATCAATAGGACAAACAAAATATTTTTTTAATTATTTTATAAAATTTCATATTTGTTTACATATTCTCCTGTAGGTGGTCCCATATTCCAACTCCGTCAGACATAATTTCAAAATGATAATATGAAATTTCGATCTTCCTTTTATTTGTCCTCAATTCGAAAAAGTATTTGCGAAGTGCAGGATATTTAAATAGAAATGCGTTTAAAGAAAACAATCTCCGTCATTACTCCTGCATTACTTGTCAACTAGTTTCAAGTTAGCTTTTTGTAGCTAACTACGGGTTATATATTTTTATAGAAATCCCGCAAGAAAGCTAACTACAAGTGGGTTATTTTTTATCAATTGATAATTTTTTTCTGCTGCGTTAAGAACGTTTGCGGGTTACCACAATTGTTCTCTGGCAGCGACGCGACCATAAAAATCAAAACAATTTTCCAAGTGAGTGCAAACTTTTGCAGGGCAGTGCAAGTGCCCCGATTTTTCATATTTGTACCGATTAAAGGCCGATTTTCAGTGTTTTATTTATTAATTTAATAGGAGTCTCCCTAAAATATGTTACTGCTTTGTTTTTCTTAAAAACAAAATGGGATGTTCGCATTCGATGCTTGGGAAACGTCCCGATTTTCTCCACAGAAATCTGGCCAACGTAAAAATGTACCTATATAAAACTACTAATATGTTAATTTAATTTACAAATTTTTCTTTTTAAGCTCCACCGGCATGTCTCTTTGGTTTTCAGAGATCCAAAATAGAGCTAACTCAAATACAAATGGAAGTCATCTGACTATTTGCGAATTGATTGATCTTTCAATACAGGATGATGAAGCGCTAGCCAATTCTACGCAGGTGCGTGTCTTTGTATCCTTACAGGGTTTTTACACGATATGCATTTGCATATGTAATTAAATTATGTAGTTAAAAAAATATCAGCTTTCATTAAGAAGTTATAAGTGTTGAATCTTTGTGGACATTAGTTAAATTGTTGACTATGTATTATCAAAACACGTAATTCATGGGAGAGGTTCTCCTATTTCTTGTGTGGCGCTGTAACTGTCTAAGCGATTTTTTGTCGAGTTCTATAAAAAACGCTAGTCGTTTCAATTTTTTACTACACTGAGACAACTTTTTTAAAAAAAGTTATGGTGTTAATGATGTTTTTATACATTTGATGAGCATGAAATTGTATTATAACTTTGGTGCGTCGATTGTAAGAACCAGAATAAGAAGAGATATACCCATTAAAATGGGTACTTATATGATCAGAACGTCGAGCTGAGCCGATTTAGGCATATCCGTCTATCCGTCTGTTTGTATTGTAAGCACTCCAGTCTCTATCAGGATGAAATTTGTCGTAACCGGAAAAATCGGACCAATATAACATATAGCTCCCATACAATTGAGATCTTTTATTATAATTCCTCCATTTATGCAACTAGGAACGTGAATTTTCGCACTTGTTTCACTAATTATCAACAGAATACTTATAGTGAAAGTTACAAAGATCGAGTCACTATAACCTATAGCTCCCATTCAACTGATTGCTATAAATGCGGTTTTACTTCAAAATTCCTTTATTTGGACACCTAAAACCAAGAAATTTCGTGAGCTATTTTCTAAATAATCATACAAAGTCTACTGAGAAAATCATCCAGATCTGTCCTGTATCGAATCGAAAGTGCCATATCTTGTCGGCCAATTTTTTTCTATGGAAAAACTTTCCACTGCTTCGTTTTTATGAAAAATAATTGCTTTAAGCAATTACACCGCCAAAATCTAAAGTATTTATGGATATATTTTTACAAAGTTAGTGATAACACAGCAAAGTACAAGCATTGCTTTAAAGCCCTAAAGTTTCGTGGGAACGTATTTTTATCAATTTTTTGTCTAATGGCGATTTAGTTTCTACAAAAAATATTGCCTTTTCATCGTTCTCTTCTTAGTGTTTGTTAACTAATGAATAAATCGACACCTGAGTGGAAGATCGATTTATCTCGGCACCAGTTCGAAAACGCCCTATTTTGGAAAGTTTTCTGAGATAGGGTATTTTCAACCAATTCTGAGTTCTGAATTACAACAACAACATTTGAGCATAGCCTCCATATCGAAACGTAAGACGTATTCTACGTCAAAGTCGTGTTTTTAGTTATTTTGGCTGTGTCATATAAAATGCAGGGACGGTAATCATTATGAGTTAAATAATTTAAATCAGCATTAACCCATTATTTCATGATTTTTATTTTTTTCGCTTATAATAATTATTATTGAGTTTTATTTTTCCGCTCAACGGAAATAATTATCATTTGATTTTTAGTTTTTCGATCACAAATAATGATTATTTTATGATTATTTATTTATTTATTTTCTCCCTCAGAAATAAAAATTATTAATGATTATTTATAAAACTGAAAAGGCCATACAGACGCAAACTTCTGACATTTTGACCTGAAAATTTTGGGGCTTAACCCTTTTGTTAAGGTTTCGCTACCTTTAAAAAGAATTCGTCGGGAATTACGCTGGTATAGCTTTTGAATATTTTGAATGATCATTATTTTTAAAGTGAAAAAGTAAAACTCAATAATAACACAGGTCTACAAAAAAAATCGATGAGAGATTTCTTTGACCAAACCTAGCCTGCTATATGTTTTTGGGGTCGCCTAACATGAATCTGAAGTCCGTTTTGCTCCATCACGTCTAAATTTTTTCCTAACCTCAAACAACACCTCGGAATTTCTCTGTCACGTAAAACTTCAGATTCATGTTCAGCGACCCCAAAAACATACAACAGACTAGGTTTGGTCAAAGGAACGCCGCATCGATTTTTTTGTGGACCTGTGTAATTATTATCTTTGAGCGAAAAAATAAAAATCATCAAATAATCATTATTTTTGATCGAAAAAAAAAACAAAAATCAAGTAATAACAATTTGATTTGAGCGAAATAAAACTCTAATATTAATTATTATTTGCATCTTTATTGATTCAACTCGAAGAATAAAAATCACTGTAAATTACAGTAGAACGTACGAACACAAATACGTGAGTATAGTTAAAATTGTTCTACGACGATTACAACTGTTGATTTTTTGGTGAAAATTTAAAAAATAATTACTATTTTCCGTCCCTGATAAAATGTGCCGCAATGCGTCGTGACTTTTCAGACTTTGCGCGAAAAGCGCATAACGCAAAAGGTATGTCACATATAAACGCCGGAAAATCCCTTTCGCTTTGTTGCATACAAAAGGAAGAAAAATTATCGATATAAGTAGGTATCGATACTTTCGGTTCACTCATCTAAGTTGTATCGAAATAACGATTTGAGTAAACTCATTTAAGTGCCGGTCGCTGTGGTGTAGTGGTAAGCAGTGCGCGCTTTCACTCATCAGCACTTGGGTTCAAGCCCTGGTCAAAGCAACATCGCAAAAAAATATAGAAAAAGGGTTTTTCTTAACAGCGGTCGTCCCTCGGTAGGCAATGGCAAACCTCCGAGCTTCTGCCATGAACAGCTTCTCATAAAAATACAATCGCCGTTCGGAGTCGGCGCAATACTGTAGGTCCCTCCGCTTTGTGTGACAACATCCAAATGCGTGCCAGATGATCTTTTCTTTCAAAGTTTACACTGCTGGAAAATTTAAATAAGGATTAAAATTTAAAAACTTATTAATACAGCTAAAGTAAAATCTGTGGAAAATTAACAATAAAATACTTTTTTCGCAAAATCTATAAAGGGCTCTTTTATTTCTCAAAAAACCCTGGGTAACAGTTATTCGTCGCCACGCTGTTTGTATATTTTTATATGAGAATTGAAGTCGGTATTGTGTTTTGCTTAAAAATTATTTGATTTAGGTTTTAATTTCTTGTATTTTGCGTGGGTATTTTTTAGAATTTCTATTTCAATTTATAAATAAACTTTTTACTTTATAAACTTTTTACTCAAATGTTCTTTTTTTATAGACCTGCAGCGATCACATCAGCAACAAAACTTATATTGATTCGATTTTACTTGGGCTGTGCTTTGTGGTGGGCTATGCTTTGTTAGGCCCGGTAATAAATATATTTGGACGCAAAGCTACAATTATTGGATCTTTACTTTTGAGTGCCATATTCGGCGTTCTTATTCTAGTTTTGGTTAATCCAATGGCGATCGTCATATGCTTCATTCTATTTGTCACTATGCCAGGTATCTGCATATCGCTATTGGGCAGCGGAGTGGTCGATCTGGTGCCTACACATTTGCGGTATTTAAATATTCAAATGACTAAGAGTTATTAATAGGGACGGTAATCATTATGAACTAGTAAATTAATTGATGGTTTCTATTTTATTTTCGCTTAAAAATAATAATTATTAATTGGTTTTATTTTTTCGCTCAACGAAAATAATTATTAGTTGACTTTTATTATTTCGATCAGAAAAAATTATTATTTTATGTTTTTTATTATTCCGCTCAGCGATAATAATTATTATAATGTTTGATTTTTCCACTTAAAAATAATGATTATTTATAAAATTTAAATGGTCCTACAGACCCAACCAATTGAGACACTCGTTTTATAAGGGTGTCGCTACTCCTGAAAAGAAAATCACGCTGGTATAGCTTTAGAGTTTTTTGAAAAATCATTACTTTTAATTGAAAAAATAAAAACCATGTAATAATAATTTCCTTTGAGCGAAACAATAAAACTCAAATATAAATTAATATCTCTAATCCTTATTGATTAAACTCCAAGTAAAAGGTCACTGATTACAATTTGTTGATTTTTTTTTTGTTAAATTGAAAAAAATAATGATTATTTTCCGTCCCTGGTTTTTAAATTGCAACAAATAGTAATACCATTATTCCGCAGTGGCAAAGCTGTTTGCATTTGGTCATTGCTTGGGCGTGCTGGGAGCATTTTCGGAAGCAATGTTATCGGTGCGTTATTAGCCTCTTACTGCAATTTCACATTTAGCTTCTTCGCTGGCTCCGTAATTGGTAAGTGCGAAATCCAAACTCAATAAAAATAATTGCAAACTATATAGTCATCTACTTATTTCTTTATGTTAACTGTTTTATTTTGTTTTTACATAGTTTGTATGTTCCTCACAATCATACTGCCTATTTGAGTACAACAAATATTTCTGACGACTGTTAATTTCAATCGAAAGCTGTGAGCGTACCTTCGTTGTTGAAGTGAATCTATTATTTTGTCAAAAAGTGTATTATACATATAAATATATATGTACATATGTCTAAGATGACAATGGTATAACATTCTTATGTGCTCTCTTTTTGCATATACAAATAAAGTTAGTGCAAGTATTGCACACTATCCGCCATCACGTCTTCTAATTTCAGCTGCGCTGATTACCTCCGCATAACAGGTTATGGGCTTAAATTAATTAACTGTGAACGCGTGCAAATTTTTTGTTTCGAAATTTTCGGATAAAATAAAAAATAATCTTGTTAGAAATATTTTTTTTTTCAAAAGTTCGGAAATGTTGTCAAATTTAGTTTCGTTTCCATTTGAAAAATTGCGCGGTCGTGAGAACTTCGATATATGGGAACAACATGCGAAATCGTACTTCGTGATTAAAGGCTGCTTTAAGATTGTGGAAAATGAACTATCAAATTGAGCTACGGAAAGTGAAAAATCATTAGATGCAATTACGTAAATGATAGCTCCATGCAACTTTGGTTATATCGCTACAGCTGAGACTGCAAAAGCTGCATGGGACGCACAGTGTTTTGGCTATATGGAGACGGGTAGAAAAAAGTCATGGTAAAAGTTGGTAAAAAAACCATTTTGGGCTTAGAGAGGGACAACTAAAAGTCACAAATACCAAATTTCATATAAATATTTTACTCACCCCCTCTCCACGAACGGTACATTTCCACAAGCAAAAAATACTGGAACCGGCGCGGTAACGACTAATCAGTTTAGTTGCCCTTAACCGTTTAACCCAGTAAATCAAGTGTTTCTTTTTCAACTGTAGTCAATTATTTAAGTGTCATGGAATATTGAAGAGAAGGTATTTGTCATTTATTTCGTATTTTCCTATTTTTTAAATCAACAAATTTACTTTGAAATGTAGATACTAAGGATTATTAGTAAAAAAAAGTGTGAGTACCGGCCCCTCACGTCTTAAAACTAGACGCATGTTTTAGAGAATTTTATATAGATTTCTAATATATAATTGAATCAAATATATGCAATTTTCGATTTTCTTATTTTTTGATTTTCAGCTTCTTTTTGCATAATTTCGCAAAAGTAATTTTTCGAACAACGGAAAAGTCTCACAAAATATTGGGAGAAAAGGGAGTATTTACAGTTATGTAATTTTAAAGCATAATCTTTTTTTCTGAGAGTGGAAAACGGAAAACAAAAATTCATCACATTTAATGACTGGGCGCACATTTTTTGTGAGTTTCGAACATCCCAGTGATCCCATACTCCCCATAATTTATATATAGGGTTTTCTAATAAAAGAGAGAATACAAACTAAATTTCATCGCTATCGGATTTCCCATTTTTCCATATAATTAATTCCACCAAATATGCCAAATATTTTTTTTGAAGTGTATTTTTTGAGTTCACAATTCTCGTTATGGCTTAGTTTACTGCGAGAAAAATTGTATACATCATTAAGCAAAACCTGCAAGAACGTGAATATGTATATTGACTCGCAGGGAATGCAAAACTTGATTTTCGAGGCGCAGAGGGTTGTGAAATTATCGGCATCTTGAAAACAAATTGTGGGCGAAATCACGGGATAAGTATTAAATATAAGTATTTGTGAAAAGTATAAAGTATAAAGTATTTGTGAGAAGTATAAGTGAAAAGTATTAAATATATGTTTTTCACCTTTCTGACAACTCCCGCTATTTTAAAACTCTTTGATAGAATGTTCAGTTAGATATAATGAGATTAACTTTTATAGTCATATGAGGGCGGTATTACGCCCATTTTCCAAAATTCCAAATAATGTTACTTCTCTTCAAGAGATTGTTGTTAGTATCAGTATTGAGTAAATTAGCGTCCTTAAATTTCGAAATATCCAAATTTCGGAAATTTACCGTTATATGAAAAGGGGGGAAAAGGGGTAATTTTAGTCCGATTTGAAGGATTTTCAATGTTTTGCTTTTATGTGGCAAGAACAATAAGTGTGGTACAAATTGGTAGAACGGTTACCGAGATACATATATGTGATCATAAGTGGGCTGTGCCACGCCCATTTTCCAAAATTTTATCATAAACGTACATATGTCTTGGTAAAGAATTATTGCAAGCATAAATTTTGAATGAATTAGCTTTATTATTAACTGATTTATCGAAGATATCGTATTTCCCTAAATTACCGTTATATGGGATGTGGACGTGGTTATTGTCCGATTTTAAAAATTTTCAGCTATTTGGTATGCTGTTCCAAGGCCAAAAACTGCGCCAAGTTTGGGAGAATTTGGCGGAGCGGTTACCAAGATAAACACATGTAATCATAAGTGGGCGTGGCTACGCCAATTTTCAAAAAATAAATAATATTATTCTTATTTTTCGTCTAAAAATCATTGTAAATATCAGGCCAAAATTGCTTAGGCGGTTACGGCGTCAATAAAAAAGAAAAAGAAGAGATTCTGATTGGGGTAGGCCCATGGCATAGCAATGGACTCTATTTTTTAGATTTTTTAAATTAATGAAATACTAACACATTTTGTCCAATTCAACTCAGGCTAAGTAAAATCAAATATGTACATTAATCCAAATTATAAGCATACTACATTGCAGAGGAAGAAATAATCTACATATTTGCAGAGAAAATTACTACGCTACGACTTATCCCTATAGCGTAATCAATTGTTATCGTCTTCCTATACGTTTGACCACACGCTAGAATACTTGTACATGGCGTATGAGTAACATTACTTGTTGCTCATATTTCATACAAAAGAAATCATTGAATTAACTATTTGATTACTCGAAAGTGATAAGTCGCGGCGTAATACTTTCCATTGCATTTATGTAGAGAATTTCTTCCTCTACAATGTGGTGTATTTACCTTTTTGATTAAGGTATTTGATTTGAAGTAGGAAGAGTTCTTGACTTTGCATTAGACAAGATTTTTTAGTTTATCATGAATTTAAAAATTCTAAAAAAAGAGATAGTTAAAACATTTTATAATATTTTGACACTCCGAATGTCAATTCCTCTCTTTGAAAAACGATTGGAATAAATACGTATTCCTCTGTCGGAAAGTTATTCCCCGCTATTCCATGGAGATTAATTGATAAAAAAAGTTATTCCGTCGTCGCACAGTGGTCGGAGAAGCCATGTTTTACGCGTAAAATTAGAAGGGGTCGTTACGATTAGAATAAAACTGTATTGTTGTAATGTTAAATCTGAATATGCCATAAAATTTTTAGTTTGACAGTTGAAAGCTGTCAAAACATTTGCCAATTTCTCTAAAATTAAGAAAACCTTTTTTAAAACGCCACTGATGACGTTTTTTGACATGCTAATCACTACTTTTATGTCAAATTAAAAGCTCGACAGTTGGTAACTGTCAAATGGACTGTGAATTTTTCTGAAAATAAGACAATCTTTTCAAAAATGCTACTGATTAGGTTTTAGACAAGGTGACTACAAATTTTGTGTCAAATTAAAACTTTGAGAATTGACAGCTGTCAAATAAACTGTTAATTCTTCTAAAAATAAGCAAATATTTTTTAAGATGCTAGTGGTAAGGGGTTTAAACACCACTCTTTTTGTCGCGGATATGTGCGGCTTTTCTTTTCGCAGATCCTTAAATAACTGAATATCCTACTCGGCCCTACCAATTAGGTATACCTTTTTGAAGAAAATAATTCTTGACAAATAAGCCGTGTTATTAAGGTGTTGATAATCTAGCAACCAAGTTTTATTATGTAATATTTCATATAAAATCATCATTTTCCATGTTTAAGAAGTAAGACCAAACCAGCAGTTACTGTTATAATTGAAAGTTTCAATAAAAAAAATTCTTAGGAAAGCAATCTACTCATAACAGTTAGAACATCCCACGATCGAATTCGTTGAATTAAACGAATTCAACGGCTTGTTCAGCAGATATTATTGAAAATAATAATCAGTTTTGAGTTCGATGGAAATTTCCGAATAAGAATAGCTTTATTCCGCTTAATTTATCACAGTTTTAAAATATGCTTTTCGCATGGCCACTTCGCATTCGATCACTGTGCGTCGCTCAGAATTTCTCAGAATAACTAATGCGTAGAATAAGAGGGAATAACGAAAAGTCAATAATATGGCCGTGAGGGTTTGCTAATATAAAACTTCTTAAACTATTCTAAATAATTTTTCTTCAAATTCTTCTATTTATCTATAAATCGAAAATGAAATGATTTGAATCAAATTCAATGTTTGATTTTTGGCCACTTTTACTTGAGGTCTGGCCCTCTGTGCATTGGTGTGCTTATTTAATATTTCCTCTTAGCTGCAATCCATTTGTAAGCATGTGTACATATGTATGTATTTAACAAGTTATTGAAAGTGAGCAGATTCTCTTGTATGTGCCAAAATTGCAAAAAACAACTATATAAATATCTACTTGAAAATTAGCTTTATGGTGATTACATATTATTAAGATAAGCTCTCATTAAGTGGCAAAGTATATAGTTTATATCCTCATTTAAATGATTTATAGCTCAAATACTTATTATCGTTATTTCAGCTGCGCGAAGAAAAAATGCATGCAATGTAAATAATTATTACGCATTTAAGAATGAGGTTGTTAATAAATTATTTGAAATCACGAACGTACGTGTAAACATTCCATAGGTAAACTCAAAAAACGTTGTCCTTTAACTAAGATGTCATTGGCGATCTAGATAGGGGGAAAAAAGAGACTCAAAAATTGAAACTTATCGAGACAAATTCTATGGGTCATGCGTAAAGTACGGATGGTATTATCCTTTTTTTGCGGGATACTCCTTTTTTACTTCTAAAAACCTATCCCACGAACATTATATAAATTCCGTTTCGTACTATTTGATTTGGGGATAGCGCGCGCTGACACTCGTTGACAATGGAAAACGCAACACTTCACGCTCCAACTTAGAGACGGCAGTAAGAACG